ATCTAAATTCCAAACTAGTGAAATATGAAACTCCAAATATTTCACTTTAGAGTTTCTGAAACTTAAGAGAAACTGTCTTGTACAAAAAAATAAATAGTTTTGATTATTCCAGCCTTTCTGTGGAGAAAATATTTAAAATGGAAACTCAAGATGGTTTAAAGCATTTAAATTTTTTTATATGTGCCTGTCTTTTGGTTTTATATAGTATGTGAGGAGCTGGCTAAGACTTAAGTCTAAAGGGTATATTTGCCTTGAGAAGTCACCCAGTCCTGACTCATTCTGAAATTTATATTATCCAACCACCAAAAAGAACAAGGGAATAGTATTTGTTGATAGCCAGAATTTTTAGAGAAGATACTTATTTAATATGTATTAAGCTGCCATCAGTGTATGTGAATTTCAGTGGTTTAAGTAAATCTGCATTTTCTTTTTTCTAGCACAATAAAAAACTATTTCTTAATCTAATAAAGTTTCAGGAAGACTCTTAAATTTACTTGAGTTGTCACAAAAAAACAAAACATCTGATCTGTGTTTTTCTTTTATGTAGTATTTGTGCGGTAGGAAAGCTCTTTAAACCTTGGTTTTTGCCCACTGTTGTTGGTTACATTTGTTTGAAAATAAAGGCATTCAGCTTCTTTTGTGGGCCTTCCTGAATTTCATAGGATCTCTACAGGCGATCTTTTTATATCCATATAAAAGCCCCTTAGCCTTTACCTAAATTTTGCTTCCAGTCTAGATTCCCTGCTCATCTACCCTGTTTCCCTGAAAATAAGACAGTGTCTTCTATTAAATTTTTCTCCCCAAGTTGCGCTAGGTCTTATTTTCAGGGGATGTCTTATCTTTCCATGCGCTAGGTCTTATTTTTGGAGGATGTCTTATTTTCGGGGAAACACGGTAGAAGTCCTGTAAGATTTTTCTCTCGATATCCATAGAACTTGACATTGGGCCTTGTACATGGTGGTTTCCTTAATTTAAACAATTATGTTTAATTATCAGTGGAGTAATGTTGGTTCTCTAGGTGTTTTTCAGCATTTCTCCAAGCCTGACAGTAATCAGATATTAACCTCAATCAACTGCTTTTGACTTAAGCTAACAGAGTTGAGGAAGGAAGCAACACCGAATGGTTCTGAGCCATTTCAGATTCCTTTGGGAGTCTAAAAGTATGTCATAATCTCCTGAAAAAATGCTTATGTGTACATAAAAAATTATATGTAATTCCAGGGGGTTCAGGATTCCCTGAAACCTATCCTTGACCTTTTTGTGTAGAAGAGGAAAATTATGAGAGAGAATTTTCTCCCACGTCCACCTCAATCAATGTATACACACAATCGAAGAGGATCCTTTTAAATTTGCACATAGGTTATGAAGGATTTCTAAGCTCAACTGTCACTGCTTCAGAAAGGTGATATCTCCCAGTGGCTGAGAGTACAGGCTCTGGAACCAGTCTGCCTGGATTCAAATACCAGTTAATTACTCTATGACCCGTGCAACCTTGGGCAAGTGGTTCAACCTCTGTTTCTTCAAATGAATTATTGTAAGAACTACATGAGTTAATACATGTAAAGAACTTAGGATAGATAGTGGTACTCAGTAAGTGTTAACTATTGTTAATAAGTATTATTTATTACCTCACAGACAGGATTACTGTTGAATACCTGGCAAAGTGAGGTTCTCTGGACTGCCTTTTGCATCCGATCGAGGGTACCTTGCCTTTTTCAAACTTGCACAGAGACACCCTATGAGATAATACCCTCCCTGCAAATATGCATGTCTTTGTGGAGTATGCCAAGATAAACTTTCTTTTCCATACTAACATTAGGGTAAGCCTGTACACCCTATTTGTAACATAGTTGCTTACAGTTTTATGAGAAAAACAAAGATCCAGATCCTTCTGTGGGACTCCTCTTTTCACCCACTTTTCCTCTAAGCAGAGTAACTGCTGCTGCTCTTACTGTCCACAGTGTGACAGTTTGGTTGTGTCTATTAATCTTTTTCTAGTCCGTTGCTATTTCCACTATATATATATTTTTTTATTTTTTTATTTTTTAATGATAAAAGATGGAATAGAGATATGTAAGCTATTAGGATTTATGATTCAGTGGGAGGAAAAAAAACAACAACAATGATTACATCCCCTCCCTCTCCCATTAATAATTGGCCTTGTGCTTACCTTTTTCTTTTCAGCTTTATTGCATATATATACCTAAACAATATATTGAAGCTTTATGTAAATGGAAACTGTGTGTGTGTGTGTGTGTGTGTGTGTGTGTGTTTTCTGCTACTTGCTTTTTACTTTTCAGCTCATTTTCTTGAGTTTTTTTCTATGTATAGTATTTCATTGTATGGCAGTTCTTCAATTTATTTATCACTCTACTGTTCATGGACATTTGGCTGTTATTTTGCTACTATACATAATACTACCATGAATAAATATTTTTATTCATTTTTTAAATGCACATGGGCAAATTTCTATAGGGTGTAAAAGCTAAGAGTGGAATTACTGAATTAGAGGGAATGCAAGTCTTGTCTTTACTAAATAATGCCAACTTAATTCCAAAAGTAGTTGCATTAATTTATCCTCCTGTTGTTGGTATAAAATTCAAATTGTTATTTATTCATTCAAGAAATGTTTATTGGGCATGTTCAGCAGTGAACAAAGACAAAAAGTCCCAGTCTGTATTTTAGTAGGGGCTAAAAACTAAAATATTTAGTATATCAAAATGGTACAAATTTATGGGGGAAAATTTAATAAAGCAAGGCGAGGGAATGTTATCTCACTGCTCTTCGAGTCATGGGGGTTAGAGACTAAGGGATGAACTGCATCAGGAAGCTCTGGGCTTCATGTGGTGATGACACAAAAAGATACAGGTATGGTGAGATTGGTTAGTCCTGATGCTTTCAGGCAGATGATGGTACTGAAGCTGTGAGTTTGAGGTTGGGGGTAGAGTTTGAGGCTTTTGCTGGTAACGTTTTTGGAGGCCCTCTTCACTCTTCCAGCAGTGATAAGGCTGATCTTATTCTGAGCACTTAGCGCTTTGGGGCCCACTTTGACTCTTGCCCATGTTGGTGTAAGGGACCAGGAGAGGGGGTCTTGTCTGGAGCATATGGAACCTAGTGTTCTCTTGGTTCAGGAATACTTGGGACTCCAGTTCTTGCTTGACTGTTGAAGTTGGAGAAACGAAGGTTGGGGTAAGGGTGGATTTACTCTGAGCTTTAGGAGCATTATTAGAGCTTCCTCTCGAACCGGCCAACGGAGATGTCCTTGGGGAGGGATGGTTTTGTCTAGAGTCCACAGAGTTCCCATTGTCAAACTTGTTCATTATTGACAGTCTGGTGGATGTGAAAGAGTATCCTGTGGTGTTAATTGCACTTTTCCTTTTCACTCTAAAAATCCAAAATTCTGTATCTTTTCTATGTTAGATTCAGTCATATAACTTTACTGCTAACTCCCTAGTTAAATTCCATGATCATATAGGTTCATCATCAAGTACATGTTCCATGTACCAGACACCCAAGATTTCCCAGGACCACAACTGAAACTTTGACTTTGGTGGCTCTTGTCAGTAGACCCACAGGGAAATCCATTCTGCCCTGTTGTCACCACAAAAGGTTGAGTTAGAAATCCTACCATATGTTCTCTCTGTTCTCAATTGTACTTTATTACCTAACCTCAAAAAAACACACATCAATGTATCTACACTGATGTTTTCTGCACCTCACCTGGGGCTTCAATCAAAATACTGGCCCCTTGTGGCATTAAACTTGCCATTTTTGGAATCTGAGAGTCCCTTTGTCCCTTAGTGCCCTCACAGCATCCAGCCTCAAAATTCGCAAATAACACCAGAGAAACTCGGGGTATACATTGTCCTCTGATGACCTGTGGCACTCCCTAAGTGGTTCTCTGGTTGTCAATACATCCTGCTACCCCACCTCATCTACTTGTTATATTCATGCTATGAAGCATTATAGAGATCCTGGTAGTATCTGCAAATGCCAATTGAATTACTGTGTGTTTTCTAAGAATAGCTCAGGACCGTTGCTCAGGAGTAGGCCTTACTTGCCTGCTTAAACTTACACTGTGCACAAACTTATAAAAATAGATGTGGGCATTGCCTCTCTTGGTTTCTTTCCCAGCCTTCAAAAGGATTTCATTCAACTTTCTATTGTTCGCTATTAAGAATATTATTGAATAATTTTGTAATCTTTTTCCTGAATGGTTAGAAAGACTGTCATTGTTAATGTTCTCCCACACATTATGGGAATATTATGTATGGCATCCATTTCACAAAAGAGATATACAAGAAATCTCAAAGTTCTACCAGGTTAAATATGATTATGCAGACCTTATTATTCCCAAAATGTAAAAGGAGTAAAAAATGGAAACATAGTCTTAAAAAAAATGAAGCTAGTAAAAATCTTAAATGAACCAAAACCCTTCCTAGTGCCAAAATAAGCATAGGAATAATTCCCAACAGATAAGTTAGTTGGAGCCTAGATGAAATTGTCATGGGGAAACCTGTGAGGCAATTCTCATCCACCTTGATTGACTCAAATGATTTCCCAATGCATGTTCCTAATAATATTGTGAGCAACTGAAAACCCAATATGAGTCGTCTGAAGTGTTATCATTTACAGGTATGTGAAGCATTCCCAGACCCTCCAACCAACTCAGCATCAACTACTTCTCTGACGGGTCCTGATTAAGGTCCTCCCAAGAAAGACTTCATTGGATCCACGCTCAAGAGGACTTTCCCAGGTTTTCCTGACCCCCCTACGTCGCTGTAAAGTGCCAAGACCTTAAGACTTGGGTACGTGTATCACAACGGCAAGAGTGCCAGCGCCCACAAAGACCCATTGGATCTGTCAGCTCCTCTCTTTGACCAAGCAGACACAATAGCTAACCAGCAAAGCAGAGTAAGCCAAGTGCCTCTGCATGAGATCATCAGCTGATTAACACACAAGAAAAAATAACTAATTTAGACCAAAGTTCTAGCTTTTCCTGAGAAACTGGAATTTGAAGGAGCTATTCTGAGATCTGTGCTCCTAGCAACTGACTGATAACATTATAGACTGGACTGTTCGCTGAGTTTAGAGACTGAGTTGTAACTGAGTGAAAAATAGACAACGAAATCTTGAAGAATTGCACGTAAGTGCAAGCGAGACTTAACTCTTTCTCTGAGTAGTATTGGTTGGACTGAGAAATTGCTAAACCAAACCTGTGATAGGACTGGTTATTTGGGTATCTCTCTCTGTCATTGTTTTCTCTTACTGTTACACTGCTTTCTGTGTTACCGCTGGAGGACCAGATGTTCTCAGATAATTCACATTGCCCCGACTGTGGGCAACAGTGGTTTCCTAGTTTAGAACTAGGCCACTGGTTGTACCAAACTGAACTTATTGAAAATGAGTGTTACCAAGTCTTCTTAGACCGTATTAACAGAGCTGATTACTGCCCTGAGTGTTATCCTGATAATCCTGCTAACAGAAGCCTTGTCCTTCCTTGGTCTTTCCCACTTGAATGGGCTCCCCAAAATCTTACCAGGTGGACCTTTGAAAAAGCTTGCCACCCGTTTCTTCTGGGTCCTCCGCTGGTTAGAAAAAGGATACATGACTCCAGACTGGCTGGTTTTAACCCCGCATTACAATTAATCTTGGCCAGAACAGATACGACCTTAAACAAAAAACTTGGCCAAAGCAAATAACTTCTTAAAGAGTCACAATCATGGAGACTCTAGAGGGTTTTGTGCTAGTAGTAACCCAAGGAAGATGGAACAATGACGCCTTCTAAATCTGATTCAGACTGTCATTACTTCGGGGATCTGCTTACATTGTTGGGTCTGCCCCCATGGCTTACACTATTCTGTTCGGCATGATTTTAGTCAGTATTCCAGTCAGGCTGTTCATCTGGAACCAGAGTATTTCATGTTCCCTATGTTTTGGAATTAGCTTACCCCTCCTAAAAAGCTCCATAGCCTAATTCCTGACATTGGACAAGGTAGTCCTGGAGGAGCCCCATACTGTGTATACCATGATGATATTTCTAGTGATAACTTCTGTGGGGAAGCATCTTCATTGTAGCTGGCTTCTAGGTCAGCTGTCACCTCCCTGGTGGTCTGTGAGGGCCGAAAGGTTGGCAACCGCTGTTCTAGATTATTTCAGTAAAAGAACTAGACATTTTAATAAGAAATTACACTGTTCTAAATTCCACCTCTTCTGATTTTATATATAATTTATTCATATGTAATTATTTATTCGTAATTGGCTCTATTTGGCCTTAGTGTGGCATTGAGATTATAGATAACTGCTCACCGCTAGAGAAACTACATTCTATTGGGTAACACTACATAGGTTACACAAAAACATGCAGAAATGCCACTTTCTATACTTAGTTGGCTCTACACAAAGACTGTCCTGTCTTTGTGGTGACTGAAATTAGACTGTCCTACCAGGAAATGATAAAGTGCCTGTGCATGAGATAGGCTGGAAAAGGAGGTATCCAGCTTGACTCCATAATAGTATGAGCAGTCTAACGGAAGCATCTTAAAACCAAGACGGTCTTACTGGGTGTTAGCCACATTCTGGCCTTCACTTGTTCCTGAGAAATTTAGAAAAAGCTCTGTTGGAACATCTCAGAGGCTGTGGGATAAGTTTAAAATTCCACTTAAGATGCTAGATAATCCAGAGCTTGTGTAGCAACTCAACAATGTTCTCAGGGTCCCGGGTCCTTTCTGTGTGTCCCCCCCCCCTTGCTGGGATCCTTATCGCATTAGCTTTTGTCTTCTTAGTGTCCTCAGTGATTACAGTGTGGCTTGTTGCTGCTCTAGCATTTCAGCCCCTTATGGAAACAGGGAGCGAAAGCTTTTTCCCTTGCAGACTCCGTCTTACTTGGAAAGGAAATATTTCCCAAAAGTCCCTCACCAGTTTCCCCTTACATCTCAGTAGAAGGTACTGGTTCAATCGGGAGCCTGGGAAGCCAGGCAAAGGAGAATGGGGCTGGCAGTGCCTGGGCAGGGCGCCTTGTCTCTCCCCTAATAAAATGAGGGCTCTTTTAGGAAGGAAGAAACGGGGAACGAATGGCTGTTTTTATGCAAGAACTCATGCCTGCCACATGTTGTGAAATCTGAGTTGTTTGTTAGTCTGTATAAAGAATGTACCCCAGAGACCTACCCTGTATCTGCCTTGTGTCTATCTTGGTGGAAGTTCTCTCCTGTTATATTGCTGAATAAATTGTGTGGACTGCTAAACTGAGTGAGGATTAGTAGTTTATCATTATGCCTTGATTAAGAACTCCTTCACTATCCAAGAGCTCACTCCAGAAAGTGAACATTTACTTTGAGGTATTGTTATGATCAATATTATTGCTCCCTACATTTTTCCAGATACAGACTAAGAAACTTTCTACATATGTGCAATCCTAATGATCAGCAAAATAGAAACGAGGTCTTGTTTTAACCAATCTCTTCTGTTAGTAGTAAAGACAAATTAAATAGATTTATACCATTGATTTTCAAATCGGTACCTGGATGAACTTGTCAAAAATTATGAATTTCTTGATCTTTCAGAAATCTTGGCTCCTTAGGTTACTCACAGGGCCCGGGAATCTGCATTTTATAAATCATGCCTTAGGAGTCTTGTGTAGGTGCTCAGTGGGCCATACCTGGAGACATACAATAGCAGCATATCAAGGGTGTTCAGTTATCTGGCTTAAAAAGATGGGAACGGAGTGCTAACAGTGCTACACAGTAGGGATAGGTAATTGTACTTTGCTGGTGACAGAGAGAGATCTCCCGTCAGACTGAAGGTCACTTGATATTTCAGGTTACAACTCAGTCACACGTTTGTCATAAATTAAAATGATTGCACCGTTGTAGCCTTCCTCACAAACAGTTCTGTACGGTGTCATTATAAGCCATGTGAGTATATGGGCAAAAGAAAGGAATAAAAAATATTAATTTTAATTTTACCTTAAGTAAAATACTTGGCCTTCAGACATGATTATTACATACCAGTTATATGGTTCACTCAGAAATAACATCGTGTGGGAGATAACACTGAGCAAGGGAGAAGATTCAGAAAGCTTTGGCTGAGGTCATTTCAGTATGACCACTCTTAGTTTAAAATACTGTAGATCATTCTAGAGTACTCCAGAGTTATGAATAATGCATTTTAAAGTATAAGAGTGTTCCTAAAGTTAATTTTCACGACAAATGATCTGGAGAGTTATCCACTGTTTTGGATTATGTGAGCCATATCATCTTCACTTCCATCCTCTGGACAGGTTGATAATACTACGTACACATGTTGGTGGCCATTTTAAAAATGACTTTTACAACTACCTGTTATTTTATGGCAGACCTGGGAGTGGAAGGCTAATGGAAACATGCCTGGGCAGACGGGGAAGAAAACGTCTCATCAAAAGAAAGCTGCCCTGGGTTGTGTGGATGACTGTTAAGATTTATCTCTAAGTCATAGGAGAAGGAACCCCAGGCAAGCCCAGGCAAAAAAAAAAAAAAAAAAAAAGAACTCTGTGGCATTCAGAGTATGCGGCTGTCACATGTTATAGATGTCTATAAAAGTGAGGTTGAGTCATACCCCTTCCAGCTCTTCAGGTCCCTCCAGCAGCCCCAGTTGCCATGGGATCTCGAGGACACAACTTGATAACAGCTTGTTGTAGAGGAAAAATGATGACCTTGCAGCCCGCTGATCTGGGCTTGTCCTCGAATTCTGACTATTGAATGACCTTGGGCGATTTAACTTCTGTAACCACTTCATCTGGAAAAGAGAAGGCACAATCATGGTCCGCACTTCGTAAGATGGTTGTGGAGATTACATAAATTAATCCATAAAGTGCTTCGGAGGCTTCCTGGCCCAAAGAACATGCTCAATACGTGGTAGCTATTATTGTCGTCCCGTATGTTTTGTTATTTGTCTCCATAGCAGGACTGTGAATTGTTTGAGGACCACGTGATCTGCTACTTTTCATCTCTAGAGCATAAATGGCATCCTTCATTAAAAGGAGCACTTAAAAATAGAATAATAGATACACACTTATTGGGCCCTGTCATACCTTTGTCACAATGGCATTTATGTCTACACTACTGTCCTGGATTGAAGGATTCTCTTACGTCCTCAGCTGCTAAACTTCTAATTTCCTTCTCCTTTTTGAAAGAAACATTTAGCGCTTGGTGTTGCAGACACCTGTGCTTCCTAATACTTGCCTCTTGCCACTTCTGCACATCTCCTCCAAGTCTCTAACCCCTTCCCCACCTCCTGCCTGGTCCCCAGGGCCAAACTAGAGGTTTTCAGAATGGAGTGGAGGTTGGGGAGGTCCTACTGTTTCCCAGCAGCTTTCCCTTGTTCTGTCTCCTCTCAACTGGTTGTGATAAAATGTATGGGAGACTGTGGTTGAATGGTGACTCTGGACTATAAGTTCAGAGTTACAGTCACAGGCCTTTTCTTTCTATTCTTTCCCCCACTAAAGCTAATAGGTTTTATTTTATTACTTATTAACACATTATTCATTACATCCAACATATAGAAAAGTGCAGAAAATAACGTCCAGCTCTGTACCCAGATCCCACGAACGTTTGGCCACATTTATCTCTGTTCTTTCTTTTAAAAGATACTTTATGGATACAGTTGCCTCCCGTCCTTGTTCTTGGCCTATTCCTGTCCTTCTCTCTGCAGAAGCAAGCATTAGATGGGAGCCAATGTCTATCCTTTCTATTCATGCATTTAATTTTTAAATGTTATATCTACTTCAACAATGTACAGAGCAACACAAAGAATTGGATACTTCCAAATTTTTATTAGTTATAAATTTATACATAAATCTGTACTATGCATCAGCTTGTAGAGTTACCCTTACAACATTTAACTTTGTGTGTTGGAGTCTGCTAAACTTGTTCGGGTTACTTAAGTCATTCTGTGAACACCTCCCAGGTGGTCACGGCATTGCCATTGGTGCAAGGAGATGAGCACAAAGCGCAGCCACATCTGCAGAGGAAGCAGTGAAGTAAATTGGTGTACCTCTTTAGAGAAGTCCCAGGATATCAAAATTGAGGAAAGGCATTCCTCAATCTGCCAGCTGGTGCGTTCTCCATAAATGGAGAATAAAACCTTCAGGTCACAGGGGAGTGGATAAACTGCCAGCCATGAGCCTAATTTTTACTTAACGTGGAAAAACAAATCCCCTCCTCCTCAGATGGGGCACCGCAAACCAACATTTCGCGATTGAACGTGAAAGGATCTCACTAAACGTACATGTTCGTATGCTGTTGAGGTACATGGGCTCTTCCTCAGTTTGTTCTTGGGAAAGTTCCCTTTGAAAGGTATCTTTTTTGGACTTGTTTCCTACAGCTGCAGAAGGTCTCCAACATCCCCATTTCCATGAGAACGAGGCTCTGCCTCACTTCCATTGTGCAGTCCAGGGCTTCCTAATGCGCACACATCCTGGTATGTGGGTTAGACACAGTCAAAGGACTGACCTGCTTCTGGAACGGTGGCCTCCACATCTCCCTGATACCCCAGCATGTGACTGCTTGTGAGGCTGTGTCAGGAAGCTCCTCTAACGTGCAGCCTTGAGGGAATACCACTTCGGCCGTGAACATGCGACGAGGATGTATTAGAGAGGGTCCGGATGCAATGGGCCTCAGGAGTGGTGTGTGCCTTGAGACGAGAAAGGTGTATAGTGAGCATTTGAGAGATTATAGAAATACCTGTGACGGTTCCTTTGCAGGTTGTTTATTGGCTGCAACCTAGTAATACATTTTGCTTCCAAGTAATACATTTTGAAAGCACTGTGTTAGAACTTTTATTGAAGATAGTCTACGTGCAACAAAATGCACAGATTTTAAATTTGATGACATTTGATTGTAACCACCACCTCAGTGAAGACATGAAGTACTTTCTGGATGCCAAAATGTCTTCTGATGCTCTTTTCCAGCAAGTACTTCTTCCCCCGGGAGCCACTGACCTGTTGTTGTTTTTTTTTTATCCCCACAGTTCAACATCGAAAGGAGTCCAGTCCCTAACTCCTCCCTTCCCTTCCAGTTTATCAAGTAGCAACACTCTTCATATTAATTTCAATTAAAATGTGGATTGAGGGCCCTGGCTGCGGGGGGGAAAAAAAGTGGATTGAAAATTCTACACCAGGCACTGTGCTAGGCATTCGGGAGTAAAATTAAATATTACAAAATTGTGCTGTCAGAAAAATACAAAGAAGGCTAGCCTCTGAAAAAACACTTTACAAGGCTCTTTTACATACTTTTTTTTTAATTGAGTCAAAGTTGGTATATAACATTTCATAAGTTCCAGGGTACAACATTACAATTTGATATCTGTATATACTGCAAAGTGATCACTACCAAAAGTCTCCTTACTATCCTTCACCATACAGTTAATTATCAACCTATGAGTTTTTTCTTTTATTTGTTGTTTTTTGTGTGTGTGTTTTTAGATTCCACATAAGAGTGAAATCATATGGCATTTACCTTGTGTGACTTACTACACTCAGGTCTATCCATGTTGTCACAAGGCAAGGTCTCACCCCCTTCTACGGCTGGGTAGTATCCCACAAGTATATATTCACCACATATTTACCCCCTCATCTGCGGACGGACATGCTCTCCTCCAAACTTCAAGGCAGCTGTCTCAGTGTGCAGGTAGCCCCTGTGCATTGTTACTTGTGAGGGATAAGCTTCTGACAGGCAAACTCTGAGAAATGTGTATGGGACAGAAATTGAAGACAAAGGAAATCAGCAATGAGGAATTCATCCGTGACTTAACTTCCTACTCTTAGAACGACTTTTTATTTCAATTTCATAGGTATTCTCGTTAAGATTCTGGTCACTTGGTCTTAACTTCTTCATATCCTTTCAGCCGCACTGGAATGTACGGGGAGATTACTCAAAGTTAATAATCTGAAGCTTTTTTCTATTTGTAGTCTAGAATATGGAATGTGATCCTGGAGAAAGGCAGAAAACATTCCTATCTTCACTAGAAAAAGGTTCAGCGAGGAGATATTACTCAGACGGAACAGATTTAATAAGTAAAGCTGAAATTGGCATTTCTCCCAGGTATTACCAAAGAGTCATTTAAAAAAAAAAATTTTTTTTTTCCAGTTTTATTTTAGTGACTGTACGTATGCCTGGTTTCCTGGGTCCGCGGGAAGCATGAGTCTGTGGGGACTTGGGACAAGAAGAAAACAAGACTCCTTCACAAGGAAAACCAGACACTGACAAAACGAACCCCAAGGCCTGACGAGAGAGAACACAGCCATGGCGGACAGAAGACCCGGGGACCCGCCGCAGGGTAAGGCCGTGTGTGCAGCACTGGGGTTGGTGCTGCAGGAAGCCAGGGCTGGGCTGAGGGGAAATCTCTGACTGGAACCTGCCTCAAGTTCGGAAGTAAAAGAAGTTATAAGTAAGATGAATGTTTTATTTATTTATTTATTTATTTATTATTTTTTAATATATTTTTATTGATTTTTTACAGAGAGGAGGAAGGGAGAGAGATAGAGAGCTAGAAACGTCGATGAGAGAGAAACATCAACCAGCTGCCCTCTTGCACGCCCCCTACCGGGAATGTGCCCGCAACCAACGTACATGCCCTTGACCGGAATCGAACCTGGGACCTTTCAGTCCGCAGACCGATGCTCTACGGCTGAGCCAAACCGGTTTCGGCTAAGATGAATGTTTTAGAGTAGGGGTGTCGAACTCAATCAGAGAAGGGGCCAAAATCTAAAATCCAGCCTAAATCGCGGGCCGAATGGTTTACTGAACAGTCATAAACTGTCATTGTGATGGAAACGCAGCGGAGTGCAGTGATGACAGCGCGGTTCGGGCCACATTGCAAGGCCTGGCGGGACGGATTTGGCCCGCGGGACGGATTTGGCCCGCGGGCCTTGTGTTTGACACATGTGTTTTAGAGACTCCAATCGTTGGAACCTATAGCATTGGAAAAAGGCAATGGTTCTTTAAAAAAAAAAAAAAGGTTGTAGAGCCGAAACCTGTTTGGCTCAGTGGCTAGAGCGTCGGCCTGGGGACTGAAGGGACCCAGGTTCGATTCCAGTCAAGGGCATGTACCTTGGTTGTGGGCACATCCCCAGTAGGGGGTGTGCAGGAGACAGATGATTGATGTTTCTCTCTCATTGATGTTTCTAACTCTCTATCCCTCTCTCTTCTTCTCTGTAAAAAAAAAAAAAAAAAATCAAAATATATTAAAAAAAAGACTTTAAAAAAGGTTGTAGACAAATAGTTATTTAAAATATCAAGATGTTTTTTAAAAGTAAGAAAATGGTGATGTGCTTTATATTTGGAGGGGATCTTTTTATTATAGGGAAAGATGATTTAATACATCCCTCTGTCCCTGTATTTCTTGGAAACTGGTAGTTAGCTTTAGAAACATGATCGGAATCAGAGTCAGTTGTTTTGCAGGAAGACTTCCTAGGTGGTACGGTGTACTTCTTATTGCATTGACTCGGAGGTCAGTGCTGTCTGGTTTCCCTCTGTGTGCCATGTTAAGATTGATCAGCTGGTCCAGCAGTTCTCAGCCTAGTCATCCGTTATCAAGTTCCTCATCAGCTTTTTGCATAATGGTTTCAGTTACTGCAGTTTATGATTGCCTAGATCAATTATTTTATTAGGGAAGAGGATGAATTTAATACAACCAAAAGTTGGTTCTGTCCTTCAGAATAGTTTTACATTAGTATTTGTTAAACTTATTAAGACAATAGTTCGTTTGTTTTGTCTTACTCTCCATTAGTGTATGTCAAGAGAAATAATGTTTATGCCTTGTAAATAATAAAATATATATAAATATTACTTCATATTAATCAGGGACCTTGTTAGAATACAAAAAAGGAATTTTTTTTTTCCAATAAAAATGATAAATCTTTATCTCCACAGACTCTCAAAAGGATTTGGAAAATGACCCATCAATAAACTCGCAGGCACAGGAGACCACAGTCACTGCAAGTACCACCAAAGAAGCTCAGGTCCTGATCCCCACCTCTGGTCTCAGCAAGGACCACCAAGAAGTAGAAACAATAGGTTCAGGAAGTGCAGAAACAAGTGACCAATCAGAAAGTTCAGATGAAGCAAGTTGTGGGAACCATCCAAAGGATAAAACAGAACTTGAGACCAACCAAAGTTTTCAGGGTGGCAACCCAGGGCGTCAGCCCTCCTCAGAAAGTCTGAGTAAAGAATCCTTGCAGCCTGAAGGTGTGGGTGAGGAATCCTTGCATCTGGAACCCAGCTGTTGTCCAAGCGAAGAGGGAGGAAGAGCAGATGCACAGTCAGGGAGCAGCTCCGTAGACCTCCCTGAGGAAGCGAGCCACAGACCTAACGCTTCACAGGAGCCACTGGCCGTAGACCCCCAGGGGGTCCGGGGTCCTGGTCATTCCGGTGCCGGGCCCGAGAGCCAGGGGACACTGAGGAGGCGACTGGTGGAGCCAGGTGAGAGAGCCCACTGGTTCTGTCCTGTTCTGTATTGCTTGTCACTGAGAACACAGCAGCTCAGGGTCCTTTCCAGAGAACATCTCTTTCCTTGAACCTTGTCCAAGGTCACATACCGAGTTGAGATTAGAATGAGGTTTCTTATCTCCTAGATCAGCTCATTCCATTACTGGTACATTAAGTAAACTGCATTTTTAAACAATGTCTTCACTTATTTACTGTTTGTATTAATACAGTCTGATGGAAAACAATGGGGGCATGACCTTTTAAGAATTTACCTCTGGTTTTTCTTTATTTCTCAAGAGCAAGCTTTCACTTACAGTTTTTAAAATCTTTTATTTTGGGGAAAACTAAATGCTACAAAAATCAAGAGATGGGAAATTAAAAAGCCAATGTCAGTGATACAAGTACCATCTCAGTTTTATAGGACTTTGAGCAAATCAGTTAATTTCTCTTTATCTGACCCCCCCCCCCCCTCCATTTGTATATAAAAAACAAGTATCCTATCTTCTCTTAAGAAGATGTGCACACAACTTGCTAAGTGGATTCTGGTTTTGGCCCTCTCACTGGGTGACCTTGGGCAAGTCTCTTAGCTTCCTGGTACTTCAGTTTCCTGTTTGTAGGATGAGGAAGTTGGATAAGATCTCCAGCTGGCCTCTTCCAGCTCTCACCTCCTGTGATTGTACGTGTGGATTTGTATCTTATAAGCACTCTGAAGAGCTCAGTCTGAATGGCTGTTTGTCAGTGGGAAGGAATATAAAATACAAGACATTCTGTTCGTTAGAGACTTGACTAAAGGCTAGAAATTCATGTTTCCCTCGCAACCAATTCCTGATCTCAAACACTAGATGTTTCATTCATTCGTTGATCATTAGAAGAGTCTGTAACTTCAGTGAAGGCAAGGATTGCGTCTCTCTCATTAATTGTGTTTCTGTGGCACCTGGCACAGAGAAGCAACTTAGGAACATTTATTAACTGAAGAAATGAATGAGAGTTGTATGGACCATTATCTGCCATCAGGATTTCACCAGTATGCAGAGATATTCTTTTAAAATGTAGTAGTTTATTGTGAGAAGCAACTTGATATAATGGAATGAGCTAATAATCTAGAAGATGAGAAACCATGTTCTAAGCTCAGTCACGTCTCATTATGTGACTTTGGGCAAAGCCCTTAACATCCTTGGATCTTTTGCCATAAGAGGTAAGGGTCGGGGCTGGAGTAGTGATCGTTAAAGATCCTTTGGTCCTTAAATTCTGTGATATGAGATATGAGATTTTAAACATCTGTTTTGTGTGTGTGTGTGTGTGTATGTGATATGACTACATGAACTGTCTTTTGCAGGTGAAGGTAATCCTATTTTTTTTAAGGTTATTTTATGTTAATACAGTATGACAGTTGAGTTGTTTTTCCAGTAGGGTTGTGGGCAATTCTCAACTTTCACTGTGGGATGAAGTACCTGGCTGGAGCCCAGCACACCTCCAGACCCTAGCATGACTTAGCTTAGAGAGCTGCAGAACACTGCCCGCTGTTTACCCGCACATTTTAATATTGGCATTTCACCCCACAACTACGTTTTTATATAGTCGATAAGTATTCTTAACCTTGTATTCCCTGCTATTTAAACATACCTCCTTCACTAAGAGTTTCGGGCTTGATTTTGTAAGCTGTTTTGCAACTACAGCAACCTCTCCCGACTCTTAGTGCCTCTGTGATTTGTATACTTGGGGCCCTGAGGAGCCATGCGAGACTCGAACGCTGGACTTCCAATATCACTGCCCTGAGATGCTGAGCCTTGTGTACAGCTGACATGACTTAAATCACTTCTTAATTTTGTATGTTTTTGGTTGAATCACAAAGATAGGTTTGGCTGCAATATTAGGATACTTGCTTTGTCATTGATGTAAGGACCAGTGAGGAATTGTGAATGTAGCAACAGTGTCCTTCAACAAATTCCATGACACTACATTTTATTCTGCTAAGTTGAATAAAAATAATAGTGAACCTTAAGGAAAAGCCGGGGGGAAGGGGGGAGAAGGGAAGCCTTATATAATGGAAAATTTTACAAAGAATAGAAATCCCCTCAGTCAAATAATTCTTTGGTTTGGTTAGAGGTGTAAAGGTTACACACTCTCATTGCTGTACTGCCTAGAAATAATGTTCTTTTCCCCCCAGAAGCTGAAAGTCATCAACAGGAAATACAAACAGAAGAAAATAAAGAGGATGCACAGGACGCCGTGAGAAAGAGCAATAAAAAGAATTTTTGGAGCTATGGTGAGAACAAAGCTGGTACAGTGTCGATTCACATTCAGAAATCCTCAAGAGAATGCCTAGAAAATGTGCCTATTTAACCAGTTTGATCATGTGTTTAAAAATGTTTGACAGTAGGTAACAGGAAAATAGAGCAGGAAAGTTTTAGGGTTTCTCCTTTAGGGGTGCTTGCTGGCTGCTAGTTTGCCACCCTTACCAAAATGGGAATTCCCATGGGAGCAAAGACATTTCATAAACAAGACACTTCAACTGCCTTTTCAGTTAGAGAATACTAACCTCACAAATGGCATGTTCACATTTTGACCCTTAAAAATAAAAGGCATGTTACAGGTGATAGGTATTTTGAGAAGGTAGAATACTACATCACATCTTTATATTATATTGTAGCAACATATTATAGCAACAAATACAGAAACTTAGCTTTTTAACCTTCTAACAGAGATATTGCATCTTCAAATAATTAAGTCTTAAGAAATCAGAAAAAAAAAAGTGTATCTGGGAGATCTTAAGAGTAGAAAGTTTAAAGGATTTTGGCAAAAGAAACTCACCACGATTCGTAAAAAATCGAACAGTATCTCTACCTCCTTTCCGTTCTCCAGGGGTTTTGCTCCTGACACGTTCTCTCACCTTGTTTGTCTTGCTCCTTCTCTGACAGTTCCCATCGTTGTGTTTGTCTCCCTGGTGATTCTGGTTCTGCTGATCTCCGCTCCGAGCTACTCCTCCTCCCCGGCCCAGCAGGTGCCCCGGAACCCGGCGCTGGAGGCCTTCCTGGCGCAGTTCAGCCAGCTGCAGGACGCCTTCCCGGGCCAGAGCGCCTTCCTGTGGCAGCGGGGCCGCAAGTTCCTGCAGAAGCACCTCAACGCCTCCCGCCCCACCGAGCCCGCCACCATCATCTTCACTGCCGCGCAGGAGGCGAGGGAGACGCTGCGCTGCCTGAGCCACCGCGTGGCGGACGCCTACACCTCCGCCCAGAAGGTCCCCGCCATCCAGATCGACGGCGCCGGCAGGGCCCGCGAGGACAGCGACACGGTCAAGCTGCTGGTGGACATGCAGCTGAGCTCCGGGTTCGAGGACGGCCGGAAGGCGGCCGTGGTGCACCGCTTCGAGTCCCTGCCCGCGGGCTCCACGCTCATCTTCTACAAGTACTGCGACCACGAGAACGCCGCCTTCAAGGACGTGGCGCTGGTGCTGACCGTGCTGCTGGAGGAGGACCGCCTGGCCGCCGGCGTGGGCCCCCGGGAGACGGAGGAGAAGGTGCGCGACCTGCTCTGGGCCCGCTTCACCGACGCCGACACGCCCGCCTCCTTCAACCGCATGGACTCGGACAAGCTGAGCGGGCTCTGGAGCCGCATCTCCCACCTGGTGCTGCCCGTGCAGCCCGTGCGCGCCATCGAGGAGCAGGGCTGCCGGCTCTGAGCCGCCCACCGGGCAGCGGGCGGGGAGTTCGGGGCTCCATTAAAGGCCTTCCCTGTCTGTGGAAGGAATGTAAGGAGATGGCCTGAAAAGTACAAGTGAGCTTATTTTAGGGAAAAAAAAAAAAAATCTTTTCTATTTTACTTTTGGTAAAGAATTTTCTAATCGAAGCTTGACAAAGCTAAAAGCTGACCTGACTTTTTTCCCCTTTGCTTTTTCAAGCAAATCAGGTTTGAAATAGATACCAGGTATGGTATAATATAATGGGATTTTTTTTTTAATCTAAAAATATAGCAGAAGAATTGTAGCACAGGAAAATACTTTTCTCAGAGTAACTAGAGAGTGATTTTTGTTTTTTTTGAGATTCTAAAAACCCTTTAGGATAGATAGTGTTTGGTCTAAAGCAATTAGAGTTATGAAGCAAGGATAATTTAAACACATTTATATCATGTTATAGATTTTTAAAAACCTACTTTAATAGCTTTATTGTGGAATTACATTTTATAGTAATTTGCACTGCTGAATAGTATGAAAAAGGGAAATTTGTATTCAAATATCTAACTACTATATATGTAAGGCACTGTGGTTTTTGTTTTCTTTTTGTGAGCGGGAGTAAAACCAGTTATACTCAAGAAATGTTCTTAAAAATTGAAAACAATGGGGAGTTGTTTATAATCATTGGGGATGAAGGAATTCTAATTGGCTGTATCTTTACTTCAGCTTTTAAAAATTAAAGCAATGATTTCATGCTGTGTCTACTGCACCTCCCCTCCCCCTGCCCAGTATTACAGCAGTTCTGTTTTGATTTTTTCATTGGGATTCTTCATAAGATTTAATTGGAACAAAGATAATGTAATGGAGTTTGAAAACCACAATTAAGTAAAGAAACATCTTAGAAGATAGTAAATGCATAGAAAAAAAATGAATGTATTAAAATTCCTGAGTAGGGAGAGGACAAAATATAGGTTTCTTGTATAGACATGCTTTTTATGAAAGTTAAAGACATCAATGAACTGTTTAAACGTAGGGGTGTCGAACTCAATCAGAGAAGGGGCCAAAATCTAAAATCCAGCCTAAATCGCGGGCCGAATGGTTTACTGAACAGTCATAAACTGTCATTGTGATGGAAACGCAGCGGAGTGCAGTGATGACAGCGCGGTGCGGGCCACATTGCAAGGCCTGGCGGGACGGATTTGGCCCGCGGGCCTTGTGTTTGACACATGTGGTTTAAAGTAACATTTACTAGCATATTTCTGAAGCTTCTGTTAATTTCTGTTAATCATCATTTCTGTCTCCCTTGAATGGAATTTTACAATTGTCTACAGTATGTGTGTCTTTTAAGAAAAGATTTTAAATGAATAGATTTTATATAGGTACATTAGCATAACTTGACCATACTGCTTACTTGTTAAGCAGTGATAGAACGTTCTATAATGCACCTTATTTCTTTATCTGCTAGTTAGAAGTGCCATTAAGTTCACAGAGAAGTGCAAGAGGTATGTATGTAGTGAGAGGAAGAAAACATGATGGATAGATAGTTCCTAAGAGGTTCTCATGGTCAATATTAATTCTCAGACCATGTTCTGTGGTTGTAGAAAGATTGAGACAGTATTGACAGAGACGGGAGTTTTCTGTTTTGCATTTCAGCCCTGAAAGCAGAACTCTCGTAAATGACTTTGACCTAAGGGATGGTGTCCTGTGACACAGCAGTCCTATCCCAGCTTCCTGGGGCATTTCAGCTACTGGAATGTGTCAGCCAGGTTTTGGCCTCTCGGCTGCTATGAGAGCAGAGAAGTCATGGGATTAAAGCATGGAAGGAATTTGGAAACAGTAGGAAGATATAGGTATGTTTCTTAATACCTAACAGTCAACCATAAAGACATGGAGGAGAGTCTATTTGAAAATATCTGTCTCGGGAAACATGGATAAATCTATTCTAACCAAGGCCTGTGCATACCTAAAGGAACTATTTTCATTTGGGACTTTATGAGGGAATCTCCCAACAGAGTTGAGGCAAGCCCTGCCTGAATAAGATGTTAAAGCAAAGTGAATATAGAGTCAACCCAATATACACTCAGAGGAAAGTGAAGAGAGGTCTGTATGCCATATTTACATTTTTTTCTGTGTTTCTGGAGCTCAGATGCTAGCATTCCAACCCACAAACCAATGGTGCCTTGTAGAACTGTGACGCTGGCCAGCTGACCTGGGCTCCCTCGGGTCTATCAGTGTGAAGAGTGCATGTCTAATCCATCAGCGACTCACACCACAGTTGCAACAAGATTCTTTTTTAATGCACTCAGCTGAATATAGCTTTTCATCACTTCCTTTGGATATAATTTAGAAAAGAAAATTTCAAAGTCACAACTTCTTTTTGCTGTTTAGCCTTTGTTAAAAAAAACACACACAAAAACACTCTTCCTTCCATATATAAGTGCAGTCAACTGAAACTGTTGTCAATTTTCTGTCTATTACTTCAGAAATCATGTTAAAAAGAAGCAGTATATTAACTCTGGGTCTTTGGGAAAAAAAGATTATTTTTAAAGCATAAAACTATATTTTTAAATGACCAAATAAAATTTATTACCTAATAGACACTTAGGTTAATTTCTACTGAATTCTTTCTATTTTTTTACATTTTTCAAGTTTCCAAATTTCCTTTTGTGTGTCTAGTAGTTCATCTTTCCTTACTATAATCAATATTTTGCTTATTTGACTTAGAACAGTGACTTGTGGGCACATGACACCATACATAATACCCAAACGTCACCATTTAATTATCATCACAGAACAAATCTCGTTACGTTATATTTGAAAAGAAATCACTTTTTGATTGACACCAGAATTCTAGAAGCTACTGGAGGACTTGAGTTTTCCCCTCTGTGGGATAGTTTGTGAGGGCAGGGGGAGTGGGGAGATCACTAAAGGTAGTAATGACATTGTTTCTGTTTTGTAAATCAATAAAATAATTTAACTGTGTTTCATTTGAAAGCCTCTAAGCTTATGGTGTTCAGGCTCAGATGCCAGAGGCCCACCATCCCCCAGCTAAGGGCCCCCCTGCACAGGGCTAGCTGCTGAGGTGTCTTTGACCCTTTCCATTTTTAACTGTTTGATTTATATTTTTATCCGTTAAAGACAGGCAGAATAATGAGCACGGACATTAAGAAATAGCCAACAGATTCAGCATGTGAAAGTGACAATCCAGCAACATGAATTTCACCAGCACCGAATTGGCATATCTCTGACCAAAATTTTTATGCAGTATATACAGGTGTTGAACACTTCAAGAACTAATGTTAACATGGGAATGTTATATTCCTGATTAGGGTTATCATTTGATGGGAATAAAGCTTATATCCATGCAGCTCATTTCAAATAGCAATATGGAAACTATCACTTGAAAATAAAACAATTATAAAAATAAACCAGTACATCTTTGTAAAGTGCTCAAAATATCATTTTATAAAAGCGGTTTTTACTCTTTTTTTCAAGTTGAATATGTAGTTAAACATTGGTATTCATTTTCATATTTGGTTTACCAATCTGAGTATTCATTTAGAAATTGGTTGAAAAGTCATAATTTCCCCCCCCTCAAAATTAAAGTATCTTGAACACTGTGCATCACTGTTGATATGTGTCTTTATATATGTATTTTGAATATTATTGATTATATATAAATATCTTAATCATAATCCATGGAAATACAAAAAGATTATTTTAAAATTTTTCTAAAGGTGTCCGTTAAATTATCAAAAACTGAGCTTAAGATACTTGTGGATAATACATTTGCAAAAGAGGTGTTATCAATTCTAGACAGAGCTAAATTAAGATATCCATGCAAAACGGTGTCTCCAGATGACGTTCTTCCCGTTTGTTAACAGTGTAGGTGTCGGGTTGTGGTCTAAATTTGCCTCAATGACACTGAGACTGGGCTCTTGAAACTGGTTTCTAATAAACTGCCCTGTCACAACGAGGGCATGGCTTCTCTGCCTGTTTTAAAAAATACAGGAGTAAACTAAGCAAGAGCCCCAGCACCTAACCAGCATCCCCTAATCTGCAAACGACCTGTAAAGGCACATGATTTGGTCTTCAGTGACTTCCCTCCCAGCATTACCTGCAGTATCCATTTCAGCTTGTTCTGTCTTTAAGAAATTCAGAGATCAGTTCCTGTCCTGGGAAACGAGCGCCCACTTTCCTCACTGGGGCTCATAAACGGAATTTGCCGTTGGCTAAGTGCACTTACCTGAATGGAAAAGAAGGCTTTGGACGTGGGAAGCAGCAGGCGGAGTGAGGGCAGGGCAGGGCAGGGTAGAGCTGGCAAGGCCTTAGGCTCAGCGATCGCCATCTTCCTTTCCCCGAGGCCGCGCCGGGCCGCAGCCTCATCAGCCCGAAGCTTAGGCAGCTGCTCCTCGTTGATCTATTCGCCGTCCCTGTCATCAAGTCAAGAAGAGCACGTTGGCTTTCAAACACAACTGCATTTTGCTTTTTTTCTATTTAACGAAAAAGAATGGGCTTTGCCAGTGCTTGTGCCACGGGTCTTGGTGTTCCCCTTCATTCCTCGCTGTGACTGCTTTTGCGTTTGTTTCTTAACGGATGTTGAAGAATGTGCCTTATTTAAATCAGTTTTAGTTTTTGAATTTACCAATAATGAAGTTCCTTCCTTTTTCTCAGTTGACTGGTTCTTGATTATATCTCCCAAAATAGCAAGTTTATAGAGATGGGAGGAGAGAAGATGGCCCTCATTTGGCAAATTCAAAACTCGAGGAGCCCTGTGTGGAGTGGTGACCCCGTGGCCGAGGGCAGGATGCGGGGCACCTGCGCCTGGAACCTGTGCTCCCGTCGGGCTTCTCCGGGGCTCGGCCTCCTTAAGGAGGCTGCTTGGCTTTGGGGTTGTTAGCTGGGGCTTGGGACTGGCTCCTGACCCGGGCTGTGCGGACAGGAAATGCGTTCAGTTGTGGGGGGAGTGGGAGAATCCATACAGAGCTCACGGTTTCTGCCTGGGACGGCTGCCGAAGGAGAACTGGAGCAGAAGCACTGCTATACCCATCTCCGCCCCTTACCCCCTTCTCCTGGCTCCTCTACCCCCACTATTCTTCCCTCAGCCCAAAACAACCACCTACGGACCTATCACAGCATAGCTTTCTGCCAAGTCTGAATTTGACTTTGGAAACCTGCTTTACTGTTTGCAGTTTAGGACAATAGAAGCCTTTATGGTGGGAGGAAGAATTCAGGGGATGCTGTCAGGAGGGTCAGGCCTCTGCTTTGGTTTTAGGATGTTTAGTTAGACCCAGAACACACATCATCCTCTCAGGAGAGTAGTCCTTCGTTGGGAATAAGGATGCAATTCCCACTGGGCGGGAAACCTCTGGCCCAAGGGAAATCCCAGCCCGGGAGGATGGCCGGGGATCAGGTCGGGGTGGAGGGCAGCGGACGGCGTGTACCTGCGGGCCAGCGCGAGAGCTCCGCGTTCCTCCCGGTGGTCGGGGGTCTGTGGGCAGCGCCGGTGGGCCTCGTCCTCTTCTGGGGAGACCTGGAGGGAAGGCGAACTCGGGTGCCCAGTGTGAGCCAGCCACCAAGCCTCTGGGCACCAGCTCCTGTGAAGACCCAAAGTGTCCTGCCCACTGGGGAGTGGGCTGCGTCGCCCCCTTCCCCCCAACTCTTGGCTGTGTTTCGGGGCTCCTTGCTGGTGGTGGTGGTGGTGGTGGTGGTGGTGGTGTGTGTGTGTGTGTGTGTGTGTAGAACAGGGGTGGGGGTGGGGTGGCTGATGACAGAAAACACAAGAAGGGTGGGAGCCAAATGCTGCCCTCGGGGCCTGGGCAGATCCTCCCCCAGGGACCAGCCGCCCTTCCCAGGGAGAGGACCCCTGGGAGGTAGCTCACCTGTGATGCCGGGTCTTCGGGAAAGAGGGCGCTGGACTGCAGTCAGGGCTCTGGGTGGCCCGAGGTGGGGAGAGCATCTCGCTCTCTCTCACACACACAGTCCCAGGCACACATGCAGACCCACATCTCCCCCCACTCCCGCCCTCTCCCTGAATCTACCCCCCCCCCCACACACAGCTGTTTCCTGGTTCTCTGGTTCTCACCCTTCTGCCGGGGGTCAGAGCTGGGGGTCGGTCCTCATAGTCTCTCCTCACCCCGAGGAGCCCCATCCTCGGCAGGCAGGGCTGCATCCATCTCAGGGAGCAGCAGCTAGCTGCCCTGCAAATCCCCTTTCCCACAGCCGCACAGCTCCCTGGCCATGAGCTGGGAATGAGGCAATGGGGTGGGGATGGCAGGACACACGGAGGGGGATGAGGGGGAGAAGGAGGGAGCCAAACCCGTTAGCGTGAAAGCAGGAGGGGAAAGGAAGCTGGTGGTCGACTTTATGTCCGTGCCCAGCTCCCCGGTGAAGAACGGAGGACCCTGTGGGGTTTGTTTCAAACTCCTCATTTATTGACATTCACTCGGCTGTGACTCTGAGTGACCAGAGGCGCAGGAGAAGAGGTCGGCAGCAGGAGCGGCGGTGGGGAGAGGGTGGCAGGACAGGGTGCTCCCAGCTTCTCCTCCTCCCGTTTGGGGTGCAGTTCGGAAAGTGTCCGGATGGTGTCCCATCACTAAAAGGTGCCGTGCAGTGGAGTGGGGCGAGCTTCCTCTTGCACAGGTGAGGCCCCGGCGGCAATCCTGAGCCTGAGCCGGAGCAGCGTGGGGCTGCGGGTGGGAGAGCCGGTGCCCACCATCTCTCCAATGCCTCCAAACACGTTTCCGTTTGTGGGATGGCAGGACTTAGGCTGGGGAAGCTAAGGGGACAGGACTGCACAGGATGGTTCTCACCTGGGGACCCTAACAGATCAGGGGTAAGGAGCGGGGGACCATTGGCCAGGTTGCCTTGATTTCTGCGAAGGCAAAGAAGGAAGATGACACTGTTTTTTGTTGTTGTTTTTTGGGTGGGGGGAGGGACAGCCCTTGCTCAGGGTGATTGGCTGTGGAACTCCAGGGCAGCTAGGCACTGGGCTGGTGGTCAGGATGTGGCCAGGGCTGCCAGGCCCAGCTATTCAGGTCAAAGGGGTGCACTTGACCTGGTCCGGGCTAGCGGTGGCATGGGGCATGTTAAAGCTGCTGTCCTAAGCTGGTCCCTCTGGACTCAGAGTCATGTCTCATTACACCCACCTGGGGATGTATCCTGGTCTAAGAGAAATGGTGCCATGTGAGGTCACTCATGGGAGAGTCAAATGTGTGCTTTTTTTTTTTACATATAATTGGAATTGCTTTGCCTGCTAACCCCATGTCTGACTGTGGTCTTTCACCCCTTAGCACGCGTCCCTGCACACAGGATCAGGCAGCTGGCGGGTGTGTCCAGCTCCTGCCAGGACCAGGGCGAGAGGGCGTGATTGGCTGGCAAACCATTGCAGGCAGTCCTCAGAGGGCCCTTGGAGTCATCTGGGCGAGTCTCAGTCCCCTGGAGGAAATGGGGTCTCAGAGAAGATGAATGACTGGTACTGGAGCGAACGAGTAACCAACGTGTGGCTCAACGGAGGTCCACTGGTTCTCAACCCAGTGAGCCTTCCAGACTGAGATGCAGGATGCCCGAGCCTGAACGGTGATGCAAAGGGGTGGTGAATCCCCCCCCCCCCCCCCCCAAATCCCCTTCCTGGCTGCACCCAGCCCTTTTGCAAATACAAAATCAGTATTTCAGCAGAGGGGCCAGCTCCTTTCCTGCCCCACCCGCTGCAGCATTCAGGGTTTGTGGAGTGGGTGGGGTTAGTTATGCCCTTCAGAGGGGTGCAGGCCCTCCTTACTGCAGAGGCAGCTGAAAAACTCATCGGATGCACTCACTCAGACGGGGTAAGGCCAAGGCTGAGCTAGAAGTGGGAAGTGGGGGTTGGTCTTGGGCGAGAGTGAGACAGCCTCGAGAAGGCCCTCGCCTGGAGACTGGGGGGGCCCTCGCCCGGAGACTGGGGGTCAGCAAACAGAATCCAGCGGCTAAGTCAGCCGCCTCGGTCCTCAGGCGCTGCCCTGGTGGAACCAGCGGTCTGGCCGAATGACAGAGGAGAGGGGCTGACAGGGCGGCAGCATCCCATGGGGGCGACTCGGCCTCTTCCTGGAGCAGCCACCTCACTGCTGTGGGGACTGGCCACCTCCAGCCCCCTCTGCGCATGCTGCCTGCGGGCCAGACTCTCCCTTCCAGTTGCTACATCCGAGACCCTCCCACTCTGCGGCTCCTGGAGGCAGCAGAGCCCGGTGCTGGCGGTGGCAGGAGTGTGTGCACACACCGGAAACGCACACGCCCCCGCGGGACTGTACCCACACACACCTCTGGGTGTGGGGGACCACGGCCCCAGAGGCCGTCAGCAGGACCTCACTGGCTGAGCTACTGGAACTCTAGTAAGGTTCTCAGCGGGGCAGCTAGTTCCCGAAGCAAAGGAAGGATGTGGGGGGAGGCAAGGTTGGACGGTCGCTCTTTGGTGCATTCCTCTCAACAACTGGACGCCTTAAAGTCAACGCAACATGCCCCACAAGCAAGGTGCAGCCACAGCTGTGCTGTGGTCAGGAACCCACGTCTACATTCAAGCAGCTACAGGCTGTGCGGTCTCTATGACCACCAAGAGGACAGAACTAAATCGCGAGCTGGCTTTTGGCTGTGTTTTAGCAAGTCCTGAAGCAGGCCTTTTACCACCATCCTCTTCCTTCTCAAACGGTGCGGTTTTACTGTGCCCAGGCCCCCTGCCCTGGGTCCCCTTCCTCTTTCACCCCCACCCCCCGCCCCGAGGGTGCTGGAGGCCTCCGGACCTTTGCTCAGCGCGCCTTCCTCTCATAAGACTGGCAAAGCCGGGGGTGGGGGTGGGAATGAGAGGGCCTGGGGGCTGGGGTTGGCCCGAGGAACGTCCCAACAGGGAAACCGGCTCAGGGCACAGCTGCCGTCAGAGCACCCGATGGCTTCAATCCTGGGGAGCCGCCCCCTGCGGGGCAAGGAGAGCCAAGGAAACGAGACAGTCCTGTGGGTGTCGAGAGGCAGCCGCGGGCGGGCCCAGTGCCCCTGGCGGAGCAGCGTGAGGGTGTGTGTGTGTGGGGGGGGGGGGGTTCGGGGTGAGAGGGGTCACACTTCTGTACTAATAGCCCTTGGATTAGTGAAAGCCTCACGCCCAGGGCCCGGCCACGTCACCGGGTAACTGTGGGGTGCTGCCAGCTGGAGGGCCGGGAGGCCCCCCTCCTTGTAATATGTGGGCGCGAAGGAGAACCTCTCGCTCCCGCCCCCGTTGGGCACCATGTCGGCTGTCCGTATGTAAAAGGGGGAGCTGTATGGGGAGCAGGTGGCGCAGTGGCCGGCTGCCACCCCGCCCGGCGGGCCGCAGAGCTCGCTGGTGACGGGCGCCGGGCCGCCTCTGCCGTCCAGGGCTCGGGCGCTGCAGGCATTGCAGGGGGGGCCTCTGGAGGGGGTGGGCAGGTCGTGCTCCTCCTCCTCCTCCGCTGCATCCTCCTCTCCGCTCCTCTTGCAGCAGTAATACTGAGGGGAGAGCAGGGCCCCTCTGAGTGGCACAGGCAACCGCCCCTGCTCCACTGCTGGCCAACTCACCCTGAGACCACCTTCCACAGGTGCAGACTCCCAGCCTGGCAAAATTCCCCCTTTCCTTCCCCCCCTCCCGAGCAGTGGTCGGCAAACTCATTAGTCAACAGAGCCAAATATCAGCAGTACAACGACTGAAATTTCTTTTGAGAGCCAAAATTTTTAAACTTCAACTACATATCGACAGGTAGGTACATTGTTATTAACTTAATTAGGGTACTCCTAAGCTGGCCTTTGCTGAAAACTCAAGGGGCCAAAGAGCCGCATGTGTCTCTCGAGCCGCAGTTTGCAGATCACTGCCCTAGTGTATTAACTCCAGGCCTTGGCCTGGGAGGCAGGGGGCTGGAGGGCGGGACATACAATCGTACTGAGGACAGGGCTGGGGCGGCTGGCAGCAGCTGTCAGAGTCCCCCCAGACGGTGCCCTTCCTACCACTCAGCCTCGGGGAGACATAGCACAGTGAGCTCTCTGGGTACCCCTCTGACCGCCCTCCGACTCCCAGCCCCCTTGACTTGGACTTCCCCCAGCCCACGGCTCTGGGCCTTGTCACGCTGAAGTGGGCTCCAGGGTTGGCCCCCATAAGGGGACGTGGTCTGCTGGCGGCTTCTGGCCGAGGCCCGGAACTGACCTGGAGCCTACAGTAGCACAGGATGGCGATGATGGAGAGGAGGATGACCGCAGCTAGGATTCCGCCAGTGATCACAACTGTTCCCGCTGTCATCCGCCCGATGCCCCATCCAACTCTGCGGAGAGATGCGCGGGCAGGTGAGGGCAGCCGCCAGGAGCAGGGAGCCTCCTGGGACTTCCTGCACAGCTGGCGCCAGGGAGGCCCCTCCACAGATCCCACCCCGCCACCCCCTGTGCCCGGGACAGCTGAGGCTTCCTGAAGAGAGGGGCTTCCAGCTGAGGGAGGACGGAGAGGAGGCATAACTGAGGCATAACATAATTCTGCTTCCTGTTTCTACCCAGTTTCAATCTCCTTTAATTCTCTTTTCCTTCTCCTGTCTCCTGCCCTCACACCTTCTTAAACTTAAACTATATCCCTCCCCCACCTTGTGTCCAAGACACAAAGGAAACGGCTTCTGTTGGCAGCGCCCTAAGCTCTCCCCTGGTTATCTCAGTTAATCTTCCACGTCATCTTTAGGCTAGCTCTTTTTTGTTTTTTGTTTTGTTACTCCTCACCCGAGGGTATTTTTCCATGGACCTTTAGGGAGAGTGGGAGAGATAGGGAAGGACAGAGAGGAACTTCAGTGTGAGAGAACCACGTCATTTGGCTGCCTCCTGCAAGCCCTGACCAGGGCCCAGCGCAGGGAGGAGCCGCAACTAACCCTGATCAGAATGGAACCCTTTGGTCCAGAGGCTGACGCTCTATCCACTGAGCCCAAACTGCTAGGGCTGGGCTGGGTCTCAATTATCTCTGTTTCACAGCTGATGAACCAGGCTTTGATTTAGCGGAGATCCCACCCAATGGCTATTCTCTCAATCACTGCCCTCCGGAGTCCAGGCACCTGTGGTCTCTGAGCCCTTGATCCAGGTGGAGAGGACAGGGTCTGAATCTCAAAAATGCTCCCCAATTCTGTCCTGGCGCAAACCCACACTCCTTTTGGGGGGAATCTCTCCTCTCTTTCCAACTCTGTGGAAAACAAGGGCCAGGCGAGCCTGGAGGAAGCAGGGAGGCGGCCCCCTGGCTCCTTGTGACAAGGCTGGGGAGACGGTCCTGGCTAACGTGGGTTCACAGGACGGAGGCCAGCCCGATGCAGAGCTGTCTGGCCTCAGGACAACATCCCTTGCAGGACACTGAACGGGATTTCCAAGTCCCGGGCTCATGGGGACCAAGACTGGTTTTGCCAACAGAGCAGGAGAGTGGGAGGAGCCTTGGCACCTTGAGGACGGAAGAAGGACTGTGAGCACTCACGTTCAGTGAGGGAACGGTGACCTGCAAGACAATAAAAGGGACAGAGATGTTGGAAGAAGAGTGTTGCCCCCAGGTTAGATTGGTCCCTGAGCTCCACCTCACCGCCTCCTGCTTCCCTCACTGTGTGCTCCACCGACAAGAAGCCTACAGGTCCCAAGGCTGGGTCTCCGGCTCTGTCTCCTCCTGCTAGTGGACAGACATCCCGCTTGGATGTCCCACCAGCTCGAACTCAGGCTAAGTCACCACCCGCATGGGTCCCCCTTCCGACCTCCGTCTGCCAGTGGTTCCCCAGAGCTGCTACGAAGGCCCTTGCAGGTTGTTTGTTACTCAAAGGGCAAGTGGGGGCGGGGCCGCACATTGCATTCCGCTCCAGAAGCCACTCACCACCGCGCTGTGTTCAGGTGGAGGAAGGAGCACCTTTCCTTCACCCACAGACAACACCTGCCCCTCACCACGTGCTCCTGGAGCACAGCATCCCCCAGCCCTACTTCCAATCCACTCCGCCTGCTCACAGCGAGGGCTGTGGACCATGGCATGGGTGGCACCTGGGGGCCCCCCGTTAGAAACGCAGCATCTCAGGCCCCACCCCAGGCCTCAGGAGGCAGAATCTGCATCGTAATGAGGCCCCAGGTGGTTAATTTGCATAGTAGAGTTTGATAAGGCCTCAGCATGTTCCCCTTGTTGCCCAGACTTTCAAATCCTCCAGTTCTCCTAAGGCTCCGCTAGTCCTCCGTTGTTCATCAGTGAAGACACTTTGCATGCATGTCACGTCTGCCCTGGTGCAATGGCTTCCTGACTGATTTCACTAGTTTGTCCCTAAGCAGCCACCCACACTTTAGCCTTTCCTCATGCCCAATGCCCTTCTCTTCCCCCAGATCCTTCCCAGCATCACTTTGCCTGCGGGGGATGTTTCCCTGGGCAGGAACTTTTAGACCAAACTTCAAAAGCTTTGACCTGCCCCTCATCCCTGCATGCTCACCACCAATTCATGTCCCCCCTCCCCTCCCCCTGCAAGGACTCCCTACACGAATCCTCTGCCCATCAGACAGGCCTCATTCTTCAGAAGCTTAAAGCCTGGGGATGCAGTGACACTTAGTGTAGCTCCCAATATGGTGTTTGTAGCCTCGTGATGAAAAGACACTGGACGTGCCTTATGATCTGGTGTAAGACACACAAGAAGAGACACACAGACCAAGGGCTGGGGGTGTACAGAGGGGCGCCACGAAGTCCTTGGGGAAAGGTTGCAGGGAGGCGTAAGCATGAGCAGAATCCGAAAAGCTGAGTAGGAGCTTGTCCAGTAGACATGGTGGAGAGGGCAGGAGGTGCTCCAGGACCTGCAGGAACCTGGAAAGGCCTGGATGAGGTGGGGGGCAGGGAGAGGCACGAAGCTGGACAGGCTGTAAGCCAGGGGAGGGATTTAAGTCTCGGAGATGATCGGGTTCCCAAAGGGCTTTCGGGAGGGGAGTGCATGACCTCACTTTCTCCATCTATTTAAGTCCTACCCGTATTTGGAGGCTCCAGGAAGCCTCCCTGACTGCCCCTCTGCGATGCTCTCTCTTTCTGTGCTCCTCACAATGCCTTTCTGGGGGCCACTTTTCAAACCCTGACTTGGTAGGACGCTCGTCAACATCCATGTGTGAACGTCTTGACTCCTCTACTAAATTATGAGTCCTTTGGGATTAGGAGTTGTGCTTTATATTGCTTTGTATCTCCCTGTAGCATTATACACAGCAGCTCGTCTGGTATAGTATTTCTGGCGGTTATGACTCTGATCCACCACCAGGGGGCAGCAAGTTGCATGTCTCAGTTCACATCCTATATGCAGATGTGGTTCAAGACAAGTATGACTTTGTCCAGGTGACATGGTGGGCCATGCTTCAAGGGTTCACTGGGCATTTGATGTGGGATGAAGCTCAGCCTAGGGAGGATTTATGTACCTTCACATTTATGTACCACTGAGGGCTGCTTAAGAGACACAGGCCCATGGAGTGAACTGAAGCTGGGGGAGGCAGCAGTGACCCACGCTGCTGAAAGTTCTGGCCGGGTCCCCTGGGGTGTGCCCAGCCTGTTAGGAGACAGGGGATTGTGATACCTCATGAGAACAGTGCCCTCCCACCTTCCCTCCATGTCTTCCCTCCCTTCTTTCAGTACCTTGAAAGCTGTAGAGCAGAAATGGCCCCAACATGGTCGGGGGTGGAAGGGAGAAGAAGGCAATGAAAGCAGTCATGGGGGTGAAAGCCCATTCAAGACCCAGTTTTACCACTTACCAGCCCACCCCAGCTCGGAAACTGATCACCTTTCTCACTTGTAAAAGAGAAACTAACCAAAAACTCAGTTTACAGGTATGATCCTGAGCCAAAAGGTAAGATCCATGTCTGGGAGGGCCCCTTGTAAACTAAAAGATCCTTAGTTGCCGGGGAAAGGAAGACCTAGACATTTTGTGGCTGCTTAAGTCTGGCCTTACAATCATAAACCAAGAAGGCCTGCAGTGAACTAGCGAGGCCCCAGAGCTAATGGTACAATTTAGCACTTAAATTCCCACATCCAGTGGCTCTCTGTTACTTCAGATGGGGGTAATTTCTCTTTGTAACTATAGGCAAATGATAACAATAACTCAGTACATCTAAATAGCACCCTACAGTTTACAACATGTTTTCATTTGTATCCCCTCCTATGACGGGCAGGCTCTAAGGCCCCAAATGATCCCCATGTCCTGTGTATTCCCCTCCCCGTCAGGCTAGGTGTGACCTGTGACTCTTCCACCCAACACAATACAGTAAGGTGATGGAATGTCACTTCTGTGGATAGATTATATAAGATTCTTTTTTAAAAAATATATATTTTATTGATTGTTTACAGAGAGGAAGAGAGAGGGATAGAGAGTTAGAAACATCAATGAGAGAGAATCATTGATCAGCTGCCTCTTGCACACCCCCTACTTGGGATGTGACCGCAACCAAGGTACATGCCCTTGACCGGAATCGAACCTGGGAACTTTCAGTCTGCAGGCCAATGCTCTATCCACTGAGCCAAACCGGTTTTGGCAGATTATATAAGATTCTGACTTCCCCTTCTTGCTGGCCAGCTTTTCCCCTTGCTGGTTTTGACACAGTAAACTGCCATGTTGAGGAGGCCCATCTGACAAGGAACTGAAGATTCTTCTGTCCTTCAGCCCACTGGACAGAAGGAATGGATGCCCTCAAGCCAATGGCCCAAAAGGAACTAAATAATCACCTAAGTGAGAGTGGAAGTGGATCCTTCCCCAGTTGAGCTTTCAAATGAGTGTCACCCCAGTGGACACTTTGAATGCAGCCTCATGTCAGACCCTGAAGCAGTGGACCAGCGAGCCACACCTGGAGACCTGACCCACAGGAACTGTGAGCTCATCAAAATGTGCTGTTTTAAGGGGCTCAGTTTGTGGCAGTCTGTTATGGAGCAAAAGAGACCTACCACCTCTTTTGGACTGTACAAAAAATCCACACACGAGGGGAACCCAGGCCATTAAATGACTTTCCCGGTCATACCACAAGAGTCTCAGTTAGGACCCAGGATCCTTGCTGTGGAGTTTCCATCATTCCAGCCTCCTCCTGAGGACAGGAGAAAGAGGTCCCCATATTTCCTCCCACGGCCTCACAGGTCTGGACAGAATGGATTCAGTGGGGGCCAACTCAGCTGCTGAGGGCAGCCAAAAAGGACAAATCTGTTGTCAACCAAACACTCCGAGTCTGCCCTCTGTGACCAGGACTCACTGGAGCTCCCTCCCCACTAACACTCCTCACCTTGTTCTTTGGGGAGAGGGTTGGTTGGCTTGAGCCGCACACTTACCTGAAACACCTGGGCCAGCGATGACTCAAACAGGCTGAGCCTGAGCAGACAGTGGTTGGGGCTGCGTCATGGCCAAGGGCATCAGTCCCTGCCAGAGGAGAGGGAGGGAGGGAGGTCAGTGAGAGCCTGAGGGGAGGCCGAGAGGATAGACAGGCTCACTCTGGCACCTGGTTGTGACCCCAAGACTCTGGAGTGGATGTCCCCAAAAGGCTTCCTTCTTGACCTCTGCAGCTGCCGTGGTTTCTGAGACCCCCGACCTAAGAACCCGAGGCCACATCCTATCTCAGGGCCGCTGTCCAGAACCCTCTGCCCAGGGCAGCAGCAGGGTGCAGGCAGGAGTCTCTGCCTGTTCTTGGAGGTGAGGCTCAGCGGGTGAAGAGAGTTGTCTCGTGCTTCCCTGGAGGATGCTGACCTGTCTACATGGTTGGGGTGAATGGGCCAGACAGTAGCAGGAGGAGGGGAGTGTGAGGGATGGAGACAATAAAGAGGTCAGGATGGGACCTTACAGGCCATTCTTCTAGTGGAGGCTGGGGCACATGAAAAGCCCTGAAGAACGTGTTGGGGAGTAGGTTTCCCACTCTCTGCAGGCCGGGGTCTGTGCTCTCTCTGAAGGGTCCCTGCCCTCAGTGACTTCCTTGCGCTGAGGCAGGGTCACCCACCTCACTGCCTGGGTGAACACGGGGAGGCAATGCCACCAGCACATGTAATTAATGATGGCTGTCCCCTGCTCCCTGCCCGGCCCCCTTAGGAGCAGAGGTTAATTGAGTGGGGCATAAGCTCTGGCTGATCTCAATTTCTTCTGATGCAATTAAGCCTTCTCCAATCATTTATTAGCTCATGAAATTGACACAGCAGGTTAGCAGCACCAGGAAAGAGAAAGAGTTTTTTCCTTCTTCCTGGACAGCAAGCCTCAGGCAAGCCTGGCAGAGGGTGTGGGAGGAAGGGGCTCCTTTTACTTTGACTGGACCTATGGCCATTACCAAGCCCCGACCTCCAGGATGAAGGTAGGAGGAGTCAGTGGTCAGATCGGTTCCTTTGCCCCAGATGAGCAACTACAGCATTGAAGAGCCCTGTGCAGTTTGGGAAGGGGCCTAAGAGATACAAGGAACTTTTGCAAATCATCAAGGTGGAAAAAAGAGCCTCAGTATAATAACGGGCAATGGGCAGGTGGGTTATGAAAGAGGAAACTCAAAGACTAACAAGAAATGATACCCAAACTCAATAGTAATTTGAGAAACACAAACTGAAACCAGAAAGAGCTATCACTCTATAGGTAGGACTGGCAGAAATGAAGGAGCTGGATAATGCCAAGTGTTGACACAGATGTGGGATTTAGAGGCACTGCCAGTAAGGTATAGCTAGGGCAGCTGTTGAGGGAAAGACCAGGTACTACTTGGTCATATTAAGTTCACACATATCCCATAAAACAGCAATTCTACTCCTGTATCTATGTCTCCCAAATTTCTCAACACATTCATAAGTGGGACTTAAAATAAAAATGGAAGAGGAGATGTTACAAGTGATACCACAGAAATACAAAGGACCATAAGAAACTACTAAAAACAATTATATCCCAACAAATTGGACAATCTAGAAGAAATGGAGAAATCTATAGAAACATACAACCTACCAAGACTGAATCATGATGAAATACAAAATCTGAATAGATCAGTTACTAGTAAGGAGACTGAGTCTGTAATTAAAAACCTCCAACAGCCCTGCCTAACTCCCTCAGGGTAAAGGCTAGCACTTCGGGGGCTCTGTAGAGTGAATATTTAGACATCATCCTTACCACCCCCATCTTATTGTGCAAAGCCCCTCTATGAAGTGTTTCCTGATTTCATCTCAGGCCTTGTAATAGGTGCTATGTATTTTCTATTACCATTGCTCTCAGGTACACAATTATTTGATTATAGACACAAATGAATGTAGATTAGGGGCTGGGTCTTGTTTATTTCTATATCATACAATACATATCAGGTCAGGACCAACACATGCTAGCAGCTCTACAAACACTGAATTGAATGACTGACTGAATGAATGAATATAAGCATGCATGCAGTTACCTTGAGCTGTCATTTATGTTCACTTTAGAACAAGCAAGTCTCAAGAATAGATGTGTCTAGGGTGAACACTCCTTGCTCAAAGGCCTACATAGCTTACTGCATTTACCACAAATTAAGAGAAGCCTGGGCTAAAGAGGTTGCCAAGGAGTTGGAAGACTCTGCTTTGGTTTTAATACCACTTATTTCATGACCATTAAATGTTTCTGAAATAATCTCATTTCCGACATTATTAATAATGAGAGGCCTAACACACGAAATCACGAGAGACCCCGGACCTGTCAATGCACCTCCTGGTGACCAGTCATTACGGCGTTACAGCCACAGGCCTTTTATGATATAGATACTGTTTCTAAGTCAAAGGATGTCAAGGCTCGCCTAATGGACATTATCTAATTCACCCTCCCATATTCCTGATGGTTAGGGAGGTCCCCCTCCCTTTTCCTGGCAGCAGGCCTCATGTGGCCAGTGTGCAGGCAGAGCTGCTGGCAGGGTGCCACTGATATTTCTATCTCTGTGCAGGGCTCTGGGGAGAGGGCCCTGGACAGGGACCCTTCACTCACCTGTGCCTGGTACTAGACCCACCCGGGGGGCCCTGGGACCTTGGTGCTGTCTCTATCACCCTCCGGAGGGTGAGGATCGCAGAAGAGCCTAGCTGACGGTGGGGGGAAGGAGCATCCATTGCAGGTTAAGCTCCTGGGGGTTCTGGGAGCTTCTGTGATGTATGAGGAGGTGCTAAGTGGTTGTTTAGATTTAGAAAAACATGACAGCTTTTATGAATCCACCAAATTGGTAGTCAGTTTGTCTCAGGAAGTGAGGAAATGGCCACAAGCATACACTAGTGAAGTGTAACTATCTAGATTAAACCTTCTAGAACAGTTATTTTCAACCAGTGTGTTGCAAAAATTTTTTGTTTAATGGACTTGGCCTGGAATAGCCCAGCCAAGGCCCAAGAGCCCAATCTAGTCCCAAAGGGCTGACACTAGTTCCAAAAAGCCTGTCCTCGCCCCTAAGACCCCAATCTAGTCTCAAATAAACAATGCCAGTCCCGAAGGGCAAAGCCTAGCCCCAGAGATGGGAGCCCAGAATGGAACAGCTGTAGCCAGACCATGAGAGCCCATGCCAGTCCTGAAAGGTGAAGCCTAGACCTGAGTAATGGAGCCCAGAATCCAAACAGCTTTAGCTAGCCCAGAAGGGCGGAGCCTAGTCCCCAAGAACCAAGTTCAGACCAAAAGCACCGAACCCAGACAGGAAGAGTGGAAGCCCCATGCCTAGGCCTGGACCTTGCCTGGAAAAGCCAAAGCCTAAGAGGCCAATCTAGTTCCAAAGGGCTGACACTAGTTCCAAAGAGCCATGCCTAGCCTCTAAGACCCTAATCTAGTCCCAAATAGACAAAGCCAGTGTCTGCTGCCAGAATTTTAAAACATGGAACACCTGTCTATTAATTAGGAGCAATGACTTCTATTTCTGTAGATTGTTAATAAAAAAAATTATACCAGCTAACACAATAGCTGTCCAGTGTGAATGAATCAAAATTATACCTTTTTAAAAAAAATCAGATCAGCATAAGGTACAACATATTTTTGGCATGCTGCAGAATTTTAATAATTAGTTTTTGTGTGCCAAGAAATGAAATAGGCTGAAAATCATTTTTGTAGAAAGTCAATATGTACCAGTCTAAAAAATCAAGGATCCATCACATCCACATCACATATTTATCCAAAAGAAGTAGTTACCACTCGGCTGGCATGGATGAACATAGACCTATGAACCAGGTGATCACGGCTCAATTCCCAGTTGGGGCACATGCCTGGGTTTCGGGCTTGATTCCCAGTGTGGAATGTGCAGGCGGCAGCTGATTTATGACTCTCTGTCATCACTGATATTTCTATCTCTCTCTTCCTCTCCCTTCATCTCTGAAATCAATGGAAATATATTTTTAAAAAAGAAGTAGTTACGGCTATCTGCAAGCTGTAAGTCAATAATGTTCACTGCAGCATTACGTATGAGTGACAGCCTGGAAGCAATCCACATGCTTAACAGCAAGGGCAAAATTGAATACATTATGGTACCTATAGAATACTATGGGAAAATAATCCTATATAATAAAAGGGTAATATGCGAATTGACCCTAATGGCAGAATGCTTGGCTTTTATATATATAGATAAAAGCGGAATATGCTAATTAGACCAGACAACCTTTCAGACAAAGCTGTGGCTGCGAGGGAAGCCTGGGTCCTGGGTGCTGGAGGCTGGAGGGAAGGAAGGCTTACTCTTGTATGAATTTTGTGCATCGGGCCTCTTAGTGATTATAAATCTCAGAATAGGGACATGACTCCTCTCCAATGCATCCTTCTCTGTACCAGTGGGCTTTGTCTCCCACAGGTAGCACCAGTGACATACCTGCGAATGAGCAGCCAACCTAAGCTGTACATGGCCCAAGGAAGGACCCTATCAGCCTTTCCACTGGGCATGTCTCTCACCTTCATTGTTCAGTTTTATAACAGCATCGGAGAGAAATTCCACACACACAACACCCAGCTTTATCTGGCTCTGAACAGGTATGGGAGTCAATGACCCTCTGGTAGGAATTCTTGCAGATTAGGCTAGTACAGTGGTCGGCAAACCGCGGCTCTCGAGCCATATGTGGCTCTTTGGCCCCTTGAGTGTGGCTCTTCCACAAAATACCACGTGTGGGCGCACACGTACAGTGCGACTGAAACTCCGTGGCCCATGCGCAGAAGTCGGTTTTCGGCCTGGGTGAGTCTATTTTGAAGAAGTGGTTCTAATGCCGAGCCACACTTAAGGGTGCCATAGAGCCGCATGTGGCTCGCAAGCCGAGGTTTGCCGACCTCTGGGCTAGTATATTTTAAAATGCTAACAGACTTTTTTGTAAGGGGTGGGACCATATGCCATTATTTGTCCATTTTGCTTTTCAGTGTTTTCCAGGTTTTTACCTTTAACTCATATACCTTTTATACATTGTGAATAACTGCTATGAAGAAAACCAAAACCAAACCAGGAG